ACTTATGAGGATTCACTGTGTGTCTGCACATTAGGTAAAAGCATGAACAGACTGACATAAAAAAGACAACTGATTTGAATTAACAAAGCTATTCTGCTTTGTCTGGTGCCACAACTTTCGCAGTAAGTGCCTGTAAACAAGCAGTTGTAAATGGAGCTGGATATTCCAATTTCATGGTCCAGGTTAATGTCTCTGGAAGTTCAAGTTCTAGTTTAATGCATTCTTCATTTTTATGAGTAAAGCAAGCATACAACCTCAATTTTGGATGTGGTTCTTGCGAATCATATTTATTTCTTCAAGAATACAGAAATCTGTTTCTTTGGGTAGAACACCCTGTTTATTTTACTTTTAGGAAAGAGATAAAAGGAAGAAAGAGGGCAAAGTGAAAGAGAATTTTAGTTAATTATTCTACAGTGTGCTTAATAAAGCTTTTTCTTCCCCTGTTTTAAGATCCAAAATCCTATGTTAGTTTGCAGTCTGGATTCAGGTAATGATCTACTAAGCAGTGATATCTAAGCTGAAATCCATACCATCAAGTTTACTATAGGTTAAATATAGAAATATACCCCTACAGCTACTTGCAGCCTTTCTACAAAAAGAATCTAGAGAGTGGGATAATGAGGTACATCACCTTCAGTTAGAAACCTGTACTGGCCCCACTGCAGCACCTGACAGAGCTTCTGTAGACTGTGATAGTGATGGTCAATTTTTATTTCCATGGATATCTAGAAGAATTTTAGTTTAAATATATTGAGACCACTAGGATTTGCTTTTTTCAGCCAACCATATAAAGCCTACACATCAAGTAGGCAAAGGTTACAACTTTGTATTTTTTTTGGATATTCAAAGAAGGGAGCTCTAAGGGATTCTAATTTGGAAAAGTCCAAAGATTAAGAGAACTAGATAAAATAATATCTTCATTTTTTTTTTCCTTCTCTGAGCTTATTAGCCTTATTTCTGAAATCTGGCTGGATAAATTTATTGCTCGGATTTTAGTTATGCCTTAATCTGATTTACCATATAATTTCAAATAAATGCAGAACAGTTCTATTCCATGTACATTACTAGCACTCTTTAGGATACTGCTTTTTAGAAATTACCTACATTGTTGTAGGTTAACTGGATTGACTTCAGTGGCTGCCCTTGAAATGTATCTCATTTTTCTGTAGTTCAGTCTAACAAAAAAAAACCCCAGACCTTAAGTGTAAGTGTCTTTCAAAGATTAGAGAATCCTAGAAAAATGCTCCAAGAAAACTTATCTCCTGTAATTTACTTCAGGACTGACAAGCAGTGACTCACTGTTAGGTATGAAGTTTCAGTGTCCAGATTCCACTTTTGAAAACAGGCAGAAGAGAGAGCAGCAGAAGTACTTCCCTATAAAGCATCTTGAGACAATTAGGAAAATCCCTATCTGGTCTCATATTATATGATAATTGGAGACACGATACTACATTCAACGTTACACTGCCAGCCACCAAACGTCATGAAATGCCATTATTCCCATAGAAGCAGGTTGGTTTTTGTTTTGTTTTGGGGTTTTTTTGTAATATCTTTTAGTTATTATAGTTGGAAAATATTTATCAAGCAGAAAAGATATGTGAACCACACTGTAGAAAGGGTGTTGAAATCCCATTACACTTTACCCACTGTTGTTTGACAACCAGCTTTTCTCATGATAGAAGAAGAGAATGGGTGATTCAGTTCACTGATTATTTATGGCTATTGAATCTGTAACATGGAAGCTTCATCTAGAGCAACAACTGCTAGACCTGCAGGCAGTCAGCTTTCCAATTCTGGTTTTGGATACTCAATCTAATAGATGATTCAAGTCGCTAATTGTCTTTTACTAACAAGGATAATTCTCTATCAAATACCTAGAGTTGTTTATAGATTCTGCTCCTCCTTTGGCTGTCATGATGCCCTTTATTTCAAAGAAAAGCATGGGGAGACTCACCACATAGTTCGTGAGGCCTCATCCCTTGCATGAATTACTTCATAAGCTTGATTTTCAAGGACACGTTCCAAAACAAGGCAAGGAAGTTGTCAGGCTCAATCACTGATGGACTTAGGTCACTAAGGAAAAGAGATGTGTTAAAAGGATACTAGAGACCATTTCTCCATAGCAAGTACACATTTTTTTATTATTATTCCTGAAATAAAATGTTTCAAGAGTTTTAGCTCAGGTGAAGCAAACTTGAATACATGATTATCAATAGAGGCAGGGGGATGGACAAATTCTTATGTGCTATCAGGGCATACAGAAGAAACAAAAAATACTTTGTTGAATTCTCTAAAAGAATTAGTGATCTGTTTAATGATTAATCATTTTATTATTCTGATAAAACTGTAATAGTGGATTGTGCCCGAGATACCTTTGAATATGAAAGTATACTAGAACACATTGTTTTCACTGTGCAGAATTATAATAAATGCCTGGTTTTAAAGAAATTATAACATGTAATTGCAAAAGATAATTTTTACTAATAAATCCTAGAAATATATGTACTGCATAGATTGTATAGAACTTTTATCCTTTTTGATCCCGAGGGAACTAATATGCAACAGTTGCCATGATTTAAGAATAAACTTAACTTACAGAAAATGTGTATTTTCTTTAAAAAATCATTATTGTGTCCAAAAATATACTATTCACTCCCAATACAAAGAAACACCACTGTTGTAACCTTGGACCAGTTTTTAAGTGTTGCCTTAGAGTAAAAAACTGAATAAAATGCCTGAATACTAAATTTTTCTGTAAGGGAAAAATGGTACTTCAGAATACTTTTCCATGCAGTGTATGATACCAAAATTAAATAGCAAAGACAATGTAAATGCAAAACTTGCTGTAAACAATAAGAAAATAATTTAATTTACCATCCTAATGTGGACAAAATGCCATCAAATACAAAATGTAAGCAGCAACACAACTGAATTTTTCACTACCATAGTTTAAAATAGTATTTTAAGGTGTTATTATTGTTCTTCCGAAAGTAATCCAGAAATTATAATTATTCAGTATCACAAAAATGTCAAACCATTGTTTACAATCCTGATTTTGAAATGGTGGAGGTATTTCTGCCTTAAAATTCTATTTTTGTTCCAATCTTGAGCAGTTTTGCTAGAATGTAACATAACTGGCAGGTTAAACTCACGAACAATTGCACTGCTAATATTATGTGGAAAAAAATATTTTAAAAATCCATTTCATGGTGTATACCCCATTCTGCACTGGCAAATAAATTATTTTATTTTCTTAATGTATATACAAAATGTATTTCATTATTCTTTATCTTTATAATATAATTATCTTCTACTAAAGAAATGATATGTTAAACATTATTGTCTAGTTGTTTTTATACATTCACGCAGCTTTCCCCCATTCCCTTTCAAGTAAATGACAAGTGTTTCCTTCAACATGGTTTTTTTTCTTGACCATATGAAAAGAGATATTCTTCAGCCCTTTGTCAGGTAGAAACTATAAATTAATCAGTTTTATCAGTTATATAGTCTCATATCTTTCAATATTAAAAATAAGAAGTCAATTTCCTATCTTCAGAAGTTTGAAGTCTCAAACAGTAATTTTTTAAAAACTTTTATTAAGGTTCCCTTTTTGCACATTCATGCAAGTATCACAGACTTTACTTCTGTAACTATAGCCACTGATGGTTAGGAGTCTGCTGTACTGAACTGCTTCTTTGGAGACAAGAAAAGCTTTTCCTAGCTTGTCCTTTTTGCTTTCTTGCAAATTTTGCTACAAGATGATTTATGTTTCCTGTGAAGTTCCCTCAAAATATTCACAAATAAATCACGGATTTGCTAGTTTGTGTGGATTTGCATCTGAAAGATACATGAGTATGTATACTATATAACTACATATACACATTATGCAAACATTTTCTAAGATGCATCTACTGTTTTAGTGACATTTTAGAACACAGATTTTGTATTTTCTGTTTCCCTTTTATTAATTAAAAAGTTCTTTCTGTGATACCTGTCTTCAATAGAGGCATAAAATTTTTTTTCTAGCATTTTCTCCCATGAGGGCAGATTTCTTTTAGAGGTGACAGGTAGTTCCTTTATCAAGGATCTTTTTGACGTCTCATTATCTTTTCTTCAGGTTAATATTCACTGCTGTTGCAGTGCATTTTTGACAAAAAATTCAGTTCTCGTTATTCTTTTGTTTATTATGGAACAGAAAAGATTCACTCTGTCATCAGTGCTTGCTCATAACTGCTTGCCTTCCACTTAACCTTCAAGGTTAATTATCTCAAAAGGCATGTTCAAAAATTTAGCGTTGATGTGTGTCAAAAACTAGGTTTCACTGAATGGAGGAGATTGTTCCATAGAACAGTTGTGTTGTAATTTGTTTTCTGTGTATTACATAGTGCTAAACAGGAGTCTTTGAGAGGGAGGAAATTATTTAAGATCCGTTCAAAGTCTCATTTTCCTTCATGGCAGAGCAGTGTGTGCCATGTTTCTTGCCCTTAACAGGAGCTGCCAGTCTGGGCTAAAGGTTGTTTTTAGGGAGTGGTTAATCTGAAAGACCTTTTTTCATTTCCTTGCCTAGTCTCTTCCTGCAAAATACCAAGGTTATGCTATTCCTTTTTAGGCTTTTCATGGAACAGTTAGTTGATACTGTGTTTCTTACTGCCTTTTAGTCTTCAGTCCTCACTCTCTCAAACAGGTTGACACACGGAGTTTGCTACCCTGCATAATTTGTATGAAGTGAACATTGTGATCTGCAGCCTAGCTGCTGTGTGCCAGGCCCTGAAATGACAACAGTTCCTGTCCAAGAAACTGACAAGAATAAAAGACTTCTGCAACACTGCAGTGTGAATTTACTCTAATTTGCTTAATCACTAGGATGCTTTAATTTGAGGGTTTCAAAAACCTATCAAAACAGCATTCATAGGATCAGACATCTGTGATGTTCTACTGCCTTTCTATTCTATGTATGCTCCATCTGACACTTCTTTTTGTTCTTTTTCCCATTCATGCAGTCACCTAATGCCGGAGACAAGGATGACCAAACATTGACGGTAGGTAGCAGTTATTATGCAGCTGAGCATTTGTTTCTCCGGAGGGTGGTGAGGCAAGCCTTACTTTGGTTTGGCACACATCAACATTTTTCTAAATTACTGGGATTTCTTTCCCTTCCTGTGCTGCTATAGAATTTAAATAATTTATTTCCAAAGATAAAGCATTGAACTAATTTTCTTGTTCAGTTTCTATAATTTCTCATTTCATATGTGTATGACACCACAGATTAATTCATGTACCATGTATTATTGCAAAATATTATTTTCTTCAGTGTTGTTTTCTCCCCCCCTAATTAGATTTCAGGATCTTACTTGTCATCAGTCTGTTGGCTCTCACTATCCTTTTTATTGGAACAAGCAGCCATCCTGTCATGAAGCAGTCTTACTCTATGGCATATATCAAAGGCATTGATTATTGTACTAGACAATTGCACGGGGAAAAGAACCTCAGAGTATGTTTTACATTTCTGTAGAAGGAGAAAAGATGCTTCTACATTAGATCCATTGCTGTAGATGTCTATACTGCCTTACCACACTCGCAATCTGTTTTTGCAGTGAGTGCTTAACGGATTGAACCAAAGCAAGGAGCATATTTCACTCTGACTGGGTACTATTACCCTCTGCCCTTTTTCTCCATAATTCTGATCATATCCATATTTGCAATGTGCTGAGGCAATAAAAATTATAACTTATTTCAGGGATTCAAACACAATGTTCTACAAAGAAACAAATTATGCATTCTTCCTTATGCAAGTGTGAGGTTTTTATTTTCTTAGTACTTTATGAGTTTTTACAAAGAAGGATTCGTTTTCCCGAGTCCTGGGAGCTAATAACTAATCTGGTGATCCATCACGTCCAGAGAAATTGTCTATACCTATGGCAATATTTGATACATTCTGTAGTTTATTATAATCTGTTACAAGTGATAGTTGAAAATGTTTCACTGTGCAGTGTGATGTGAGATTAATTCATACTGTTTCAGACCTCTTTCACACAAACAACAGAAAATGCCTAAATTCTTTCCCCTACTTTTCAACCTAGACAAAACCACGTCTCCAGCGGGGAGGAAGCTCTGCGTCTCTTCACAACAGTCTAATGAGGAACAGTATCTTCCAGCTCATGATTCACACACTTGACCCACTTGCTGAAGGTATGCTTAGTTTTGGGGGGTCTTTTGCTTTTCTGATGCAAAAGTAAATGTTTTCTTTTTCCCTTCTATCCATGGAACTGTTTTTTGCATTTCTCTTGCTTTCATGAGTTCTTTCTGAATGTGTCTGAATTTCCTGAGGGAGTTCTGCACTCTTGTGATATACATACTCCCACCAAGACTTTCAACTTAGGAAACTTGTTTGTTGCAGTGATAACTGAAACTGATTGCTTGGTTGATGCATCTTATAACTACTGATTCTTTCAGCTTCTGGCTTCAGCAGCAATCTAAAAGTTACAAAAACTATCCTCTTGTACTTTTGTAAAGTTTTTTTTTTGTTTTCTTTCCTAGTTTTGATTTTAGTGAGTCAGAAAAAAAATGTCAAAATATTGGATAATTTGTCATATGGACTACTGAAAAGAATGAGACTCTGCTGGATTGACTTCAGGTGGTTTAACACTGACATTAGAAAAAATGCAACAAACATCCCTGTGTGTTACATGTATGTTAACAGGTTGATTGCTTTATCCAAGAGTGATGTAATTTTTTTTTTTATTTGAGAAATTAGCAGGAAGACCATGATTGCTTTGATATGAGAAGTTGGCAGGAAAACCATGATAGTTTTGCATTTGTGGGGTAATTTGACTCTCCGCTTCTGGTAGAAGATCCAAAGAAATTGAAGGCCAGGTGTTTATTTGGTGTTTGTGTGTCTGTAGGACTTTTCTTGCTGCTGTAATAAATGTCTTGAGAAATAGCACTTGTGAGGGAATTGGGAAGGGCTAAAGAGATGTAAAATATTACTGACAGACCTTTCAAACTTCAGTGACCAAAAACTGTATATAGCACTTCACATGAACGTTCATGGCAGATTGAAGACCACAATAAAGCTAGAATTGTTGACTTGAGCTCAATTTGAACCTAACAGAGATGGAAAAATAAGATTAGTATTTTTCTACTGCTCAAGCTATTTCACTTGTTTCCCAGGTGTAACTCGTTCAGCATTAAGACCTCTTCTACTTTTCCCTGTAGCAAGCTTGCACCATGTAGTGTGATCCAGAGGCTTCCCCCTTCACTACAGTGCAGGACAAAAAGGGTTTGAAATCAGAAATTCATCCTGGGGATCAGCACTTCTGAAAATTAAGTATTAATTATAAGTAAGTTTATGAGCTAACTCGATCCTGCTCTTCATTTTGCCAGTAAAATGCTTGAGATCAATGTGGATTAATAGAGATGTTTGCAATGCATACATTGTATTTAAATTACTCCAGTACCATTTTCTTCAAGGTTTCTTTGTTCATAATACTTCACCATTTGTTTATGGCTTTTTTCCTTTCCAAACTTTTATATCTGTTCTGGAATTAATGTTCTTTAAAAAATGGAATATAAATATCTTGTGGCCTTCGAATAAGTGCAAGGCCATAGACGTCTGTTCATCCATACAATTCATTAAAACTGGAATACTGAGTGAAAATTTATGAAGGGAAAAAAAATCTACCTACATTTACAGAAAGTATTTTTTTAAATGAAAAACTTCCATGAAGAAATGGCCAAGAAAACACTGGAAAATAGCCTAGGTATGTTCAGACATTTAAGTTGGTGTTAATATCAAAGGCGCCAGTATTTCAAGCTTTTGCTGACTTCACAAATTTCAAATTTTAGTTCATGGGAGCGTGAAAGTGTAATTCCATAAAGTTTCTTTGCACATGGAACTCTGATTTTAGCTTTTTATAAATAGGCCCAGATGTGTAGGAAAAATGTAAAAAAACCCCAACCACCCATGTTTTAGTCACACATTGTGGTTATTAACCTTTTCTGAGGCTCTTTTTACCTCATTTGTATACTTGGCTTTCAAGACGTTTTACGCTGCAGGCAGTTTGGAGGGCAGACATAAGGAATACTGGATATCTCCACTGAACACTCATAGTGTTTCCCGAGATTTTGAGCTTTTAAGTGTCTGTAGTCACTATTCAGTAATCAGCTAGTTCTGAAAACCTCCATAAAAGAAAAGATATTTTAGTTTGATGTAACTACTGTGGCTGGCCAAGGTAGGTAATACTAACTAATAAATTTGGATGGCATTGTACTTGAATCTTGCATTTAATTAAAAAATATGTATGATAATGGATATAGGTACCTGCTGTGTAAAATATTCATTGTTTATTTGACTCTGTATTTACCTACCAAACTGTCACCATGTTTTTGTACTTTAATCTACCTGTATATAATGACATTGAACAACTGAATTGGTGTATCATGTTTATTTTAAGAGAGTTTTATCATGCTAGTTAAGTAAATTTTTTAAGCTGATAGCATTTGTTACAAATTAAAAGAGATAGTATTTATTAAAAGTGTCTGAGAAGTGTAGTCCTTTGCTCTATAAACTCATCATTTGAGGGGATGTAGAAATGTAAAGGATCCCCTGGTGCCTTCTCTGACCTGTGCAGCTTTCTCCACTTCACATGCCCTTTCATACTCCAAAAGAAAACCCTCAACAGTCTTGAGTTTTGTGTAAGCAAAGAAAATTAGCTCTCTTGCACTCATATATTGAATGACAATGGACCTGGTGCATGACCTGTGAGGTTAAAGGATTTCTTCCAAATCATTTGATGTGAGTATGGATCAGACTTGGAATAGCAAAAAGAAGTTCTGAGCATTTTTCAGTCCTGTTTTAGTCAGCTTAGATTTCCTCAGTATTTCTGTCAGATGATGTCTTAGATCAATAGGTCAAAAACATTGCATCATTTGCTGTATTTGTTGGATTTGCAGAAAAAGAACAGTTTATGAGAACATTACGAAACGCCACTCTCAAAGGAAGAAAGTTGAAAAGGTGTATATGAAAGCTGACACATACACAGTGACTCTGGCACCCCCTGCTCTTGGGCATACTCCTTCTGTCCTCCTCCCCCTCTCGTTTCCTTTTTCCACATTTCACTAGCATATACTTCCTCATACTGCATCTCAGTCACCTGCACTCACTTTCTTTCAGCCTCTTTCTATAAGATGGCTTCTTCAGTGTTTGCTCTCTTTCTGGACTGTTGGGTCCATTAGTCCAATTACTTCCTGATAGATGCCAACAGTCCTGCAGCTGTCATAGCCAAGTGAACTGGGTTTTCATTCTCTGGAAAAGCACTCATAAAGTCTGGGAGCTCTGTGCTTGACTCTTCATAGCTTCCAGATCAAATGTTGCTTTTAGAAGTTAAATTTCCAGTTGTTGCACTTTGCTGGGAGATCTAGTTTTTCTTTCTCTTTAAGTCAGTAATAAAATTCACTGTTACATTCTCTTGAATAATTGCAAGGGAAATGGGGACATAAAAGACAGACTGCTCAGTCATTTGGAGTTCTGTGGGCTTTGCAAGGCTGACAGAGAAGTCCCATCTGTGTTCTCTTGATAGCATAAGCAATACAGAATGTATAAACAGGCTGTTAGACTATTAAAGGTCAGCTTGACCTACACACTGTTATTATTGCATTAACATTCAATGTATTTATAGAAAACCAGCTCATCAAACTTACTTCTGAATAATTCATTTGTGAAGTCAGAACCAACCTCTACTGGAATTGAAAGCATCTTAAAAATGCACTTGATTGTAGGTAAGATAATATGAAATGAGAGAATAAGATTTATCTTCCACAAAATGTGGATAAACAGAGCAATCCCAATATACAATTAAACACTCGTGAACCTGTCCTTCCTTTTCCCTTCCCACACAAATGTTGTTTTGCATAGCTTGTGCCTGTCTTGTGAAAGCCAACTTGTAAATGCTTCAGAATCAGTGGGCTTGCAAGATGTTCAGTCCACCTCTGACAGATGAGTAATATCTGAGATCAGTTGGAGCTTCTGGATATTTGGCACTTTGTATTCAGGCAGGTGTGCAGTAATGCTGTGGATTTAACAGTCTAGACGAGGAAGGCTTCTCCCCTTCAAAATCTTGGTCTCAGCATAAAGCTTCTAAGAAGATAAGAGTTCAGCCACTCTAACAAGCAAATGTGTAGGGTATTTTTTAATGGGACATGAACTTCACGTTACAATTGAGAGCTCATCGTTCATTAAAAATATAAATTTCTGTATGACATTAGGTTTTTGTTTGCTTTTATCTTATTACAGAAATAATGACCTTGATACAGATAATTTCCTGAGGATTAAGATTAATGACTGCCTGTGCATCAGGCTATCATCAACTCCCAGCCAGTCACTAATCCCCAGGAAATCCTATGCTGTATTTGCCTTTGCTTAAGCACTGGTCTGGCAATCCAGCTGAGTAGTCAGCTGGTGTGTTCATAACAACATTGCCCATATGAATAAGGTTGGTATCATCCAACCTGCTATGTTGGTCAGGGCCAAATCCAAAATCCCTGTAACTTGAACATAAATCATGGCAGTCATTGATAATTTCTGGCTATTTTCTTCTGAGTCCTGTACCTCAGATACCTTTGTCCTAGTTTTGAAAGGGACATTTTTGGGTTATGAAAGTGTAGAATTTGCAAAGACCTCTTTACGTTTTTTGATAGAAGGCTGTTATGCAGTGAAAGCAGCGCAAGGAAAAGCATGGGAAGTATTTTGTATGAAAGTGTCTGCCATGCATAGTAATCCTACCTTCTCCCTACAAGCTGTAGGTTACTTTGAAGAGTGATTCCTTCAGGATTGTGGAGGGAGCATTTTCTCTCTGGAGACTTCTATAGGTACTCTGTTGAAAAGGAAAGATACCGTTGGTGAAGTGAGGACCCAGAGCACCAGTACAACCAGAGGCTACCTTGCTTTTCTTGCTCGGCTTTATCAGGGTACAGGAAGAATGACATCTTTCCATTATGGCACCCCGTTTCTGCCTGCTGATAAGGTGCCACAGACCAACCAAACATCTCCCACAAGCGAGAATTTAGCTAGCTGCTGACTTTCTTGCTCCTGTGTGACAAGGCTATAACTCATATGCAAATGCCATCCTCTGTGTGAAAATGAGTGTGATAAAAATCTCTGTCATGGCTCAGTCCCCAGTCAGAAGTAGGTG